CAAGAACCTACAACCAAGATTATATCCAGCAAAGCTATCATTCAGAATTGAAGGTCAGATAAAGAGCTTCACAGATAAGGAAAAGCGAAAGGAGTTCATCACCACCAAACCAGTATTATATGAAATGCTGAAAGGTATCCTTTAAGAAGAGGAAGAGGAAGAAAAAGGTAAAGATTTAAATTATGAACAACAAATATGCATCTATCAACAAGGGAATCTAAGAAACAAGTGAATAAATAATCTGATGAACAGAATGAACTGTTGATTATAATAGAATCAGGGACATAGAAAGGGAATGGACTGACTATTGCGGGGGGAAAGGGGTGTGGGAGATGTGGGACAAGACTGGAAAAAATCGTGCACCTATGGATGAGGACAGTGGGTGGGGAGTGAGGGCGGAGGGTGGGGTGGGAACTGGAAGGAGGGGAGTTATGGGGGGGAAAAAGAAGAACAAATGTAATAATCTGAATAATAAAGATTTAATTATTAAAAAAAAAAGAATGTAAACCGCAAGAAAAAAAATATCCCTATGGCGGGAGACTGTTCGGAGGCCATCTGGTACCACTTCAAGCGGACAGCATTCCATGGGAATCCTCAGGCTTAAGGTTTGGCCCTAGTTCTCATCATTTGTGTGCAATTTAAGTGCTTGGGTGAGAGATTCAGAGACTAAATGAGACAATGGATGTGCAAAATTTCTGGAAACGAAAAGAGCAGTAGGGTCTAGGGCAGGGATGGGCAAACTTTTTGACTTGAGGGCCACAATGAGTTCTTAAACTGGACTGGAGGGCCGGAACCAAAGCATGGATGGAGTGTTTGTGTGAACTAATATAAATTCAAAGTAAACATAAAAAAAAAAGTTTCTACCACAGTCCTTTTGGTGCACACAGAGGATAGCAACAAAAAACAAGCCCAAATGAGACAGACTTCTGGAATAATTTCCTGTGTAAGAACAATTTTTTCATTTCCAGGGAAATTGCCCCTAAATTCCTTGATAAGAGCATGTATTTTGGATACTGGTTTTTCAGAATATATAATGTTTTTGATTTAAGAGAGAGAGGGAGATGAACATCAATGAGAGAAACACCAATCAGTGCCTCCTGCATGCCCCCTACTGGGGACTAAGCCCACAGACCGGCCAAGTGCCCAGACAGGGAATAGAGCCAGTGGCCTCTCCTTGCATGGGATGACATCCAACCACCTGAGCCACAATGGCCAGGACCAGGCTGTATATTTTAACTTAAAGGTTTATGAAACACGAGTCTAAAAGTAAATCACATTTAACTTAAAAAATGTAATTTCTCCTGTATGTAGATATTACCTCAATTCACAATAAGAACTGAAAAAGCCACATGAGAACAGAGATCATGGCTGTTTCATTCACAATTGTATTTCCAGTTTGTTTAGTTATTTTCATATTGTTGAGCTTATAATTTATACTTCAACGTTTCACTATGAAATGTCAAGTCCTGGACAACTGACAATGCAAGGTAAACATACGTCAGATGATATGTATAGTAGCCACCTCTACTTTCTAGTCTTAGTGTTCATACTTAGAAGCATTAACTGAAACTTACACACACACACACACACACACACACACACACACACAGTAACACTTCATTCTGACTACCTTACAAATGCCTCATAATAGAACAATTCTCATAATAATTTTCTGAGGACGGTCCATACAGAAACCAGCACTGCATTTATAAACTATAGTAATGAAACTTGGTGAAATTAAGTCCTGTCTACTACTGGCCGGATAACTATTTTAGTTTCCTTCCTAGGATAATGTAGAATAAATGTATAAAACAATGCAGATACTTTGCTTAGAACACAGGCAAGTAGTCAGATAAACAAAAGTTTATTTCAAACCACATCCAGCTCTCTGTGCCATCTGGGCACAGCTCCATTCCTACAAATGGAACTGTATGGAAGCAAAAAAAAAAAAAAAAAAGAAAGAAAGAAAAAAATACAGTCTATGATTGGTTTGCAAGGTGCCTTTTCTCATATATTATCTTACTTCTCCTTTAGACTGTCCTTTAAGGCACAAATTATCACTGCCTTATGAAGATTTGCAGAAATGCTTTTTACTATATACTTTTCATTTATGGTATATAAGAGTAAATGCAGTTGGTCTTTAATCTAATACGATACATTAAAAACTCAAGACCATGCCTAACCGGGTTGGCTCAGTGGATAGAGCGTCAGCCTGTGGACTCAAGGGTCCCAGGTTCAATTCTGGTCAAGGGCATGTACCTGAGTTACAGGCACATTCCCAGTAGGGAGTGTGCAGGAGGCAGCTCATCGATGTTTTTCTCTCATCGATGTTTCTACCTCTCTATTCCCTCTCCCTTCATCTCTGTAAAAAAATCAATAAAATATATTTAAAAAAACAACAACAACAAAAAAAACAACTCAAGACCAAACACAGAAGTTGTGCTCAGTTTATCCACATCAGAATAATTGTGAGTGTATTTACTCCAACATTAATTTCCGTGAGAAACACTTTCCTGTCTAAAAAAGACTTTCTGCTGCTGCCTTTTCGACCTCCTCTAAACACGCTGGTTGTTAAAGTCTTGCTTGCAAGCTTTTGTTGCATCACGCTGCCTCATCCTGTAGTGTTATATACTTTTCCCACCGATTACATGTCCTACAATAACTGTACTTCTCTGATTACTCCTAGAAGGGCTGTCTTTACGTGGTGGAGTACTTCCCGAGTGTTTCTACCTGTGGATTCTATAAAGATGATCTAGTCACAGTACCATGAAGAAGTGTTTTTCTCTACTGCTCTTGAATCTTAATGATATTTGACTAAAATTGTTGTTCCTTTTCCCCATCAATGATAACAGTAACGACAACTATTAAAGATCCTGCAATGACTCTAAAATTCAATGTGGCAAAATTATATAAGAAAATAAATATCCAGTCACTTTTTCTCAGCCAGAATCATGCATAAAATTCAACAAGGGCTCAATAGTGAACGAAATCCAAACTTCTAATTATATTTGCAATAGACTTGAAAAAGATTCTAAGAAAGCAAAGTCCTTGGTTGGGCTAGAATTTCCAGAGAATGATGCCTGAAAACAACCTCCCTGAAAACTAAACACACTGTTGTAAGATTTAATTTAGTGAAATTTCTGATTTGGACTTGCTGGGGGTGCGGGGTGATGAAGACATTAGGAACATAATCCACATGGTTTGCTTTTTTGTTTTGTTTGGGGAAAAATAAAAATAAAATGCCACCTGTGGATATGAAGAACTCTATAATGCTCCTTTACATTTTGAGTTGGCAATTAGACTCGGTGACTGAGCTTCAATCAAAAACAATCTTCTCAATACAAGGAGGTGTTGTTCCATGTTCCAAATAAGACACTCATTATGACATGCTTACACATCAGCAAGAATATTTTTATTAGCATAACTCTCATGATGTGTATTGATCTTTATCCACATACATTTTCTGGTTTTTCCTTTCTTAGGATGCTTGAGGTTCCTTTTCAAATCACTATCATAAAAAATATTCCATCTCTGACTTGAAGCCTGAGATGTAAGTTCCTACTTATTCCACAGACAGAGAAAATGACGACTTCCTCTGAACACAGCATCTGCACTGTCAGTCTGGCTCTCACAGCTGCTTGTAAAGAACAAAAACACTTTCTAATTACTGTGTGGAACCAGCCTGTCAGCCAATCCAAAAACTACCAGAACGTTCTGGAACGTTGGTCCAGTGGAAATAATAAGACTTTTGATACTGGGTCAATTAAGGAGGCGTTGTCTGCATGTGACCAAATATCCAGCTACCATCCACCTGTCAGAAACATTTATTTCACAAGGCAATAGTTGAGCCACAGCCAGAAAAACGAAGTGGGCCAAGTCCACTGGGCGTTCTCTGCTGCTTCCTTTTCTCTTCAAGTTGGACTGGAAATACTATGAAGAAACCCTCTGAGCAATCCACCCCAAACAAGGAAGTCCATACAAAGGACAGGGACATAGGAGGGAAACAGACCTGAAAAAATGTGACTCTATCTGCACTTAAGACTCAGAGATGTGCAGTTAGGGATCATCCCTATTTAACCCCTTAACTACTTATGTTGATCCATGTGAAAAAGTCCTTTAAGAGTCCACAGCTGAAGTTTACAAAGATTCAAAATAAATATTTTGGCAGGAAGTGTCTCCAAATACAACAGCTCGATTATACAGGGTAGAACAAAAGTGGGTTTACAACTGTTCTTTTGGAAAAAGACATGTAATTATTACAATAGCCTTATTAACTGCTTCTCAAACTCACAACTGTAAACCTACTTGTACCCCACCCTGTATTTACAAAGGAAATGTTCCCAATGGGCCTGAGTTAATCAGAAATGAAACCCGAAAGCACTGTGAATGGATAAACTAAGCTGATTTAAAATATATAAACAGTGATGTGAACATGAAAAACATACACTCAAAGAGAAGGATGCAGCATTATGTAAAGCTGGCAAATGTCAAGTAATTAAAATTAATCAATATATTTGGCTTTTTGACAGAAAATGTTCCAAATTTGTTGTTTAAAATGAGACAGAAGAAGTTATTTCTCACAATCTCTCTTCCTTCTATAGTTGTACTGCTCATATCATGCAGTGTCTTTCTTGATGAAAAATCCTGAAAATGTGGCTAAGTAGCATCAGATACTAGAAAATGCCTATTTTGTGATTGTGTGAAATGATACAAATTCTAAATCTCGGTTTGCTCATCAATAAATGAGATTAACCCTGACCTCACAGAGTTATCAGAAGCACTAAATGAGCACAATTTCTGTTCCACCTTTTCACCCAGCCCCACAGCCCCCTCCCCTCTGACAGCTGCCAGTCTTTCCTCTACCTATGAGTCTAATTCTATTTTGTTAGTGTATTTTGTTCATTAGATTTCACATATGAGTGAAATCATATGGCACTTGTCTTTCTCTGACTGGCTTAAGTCGGTAAAGGGATTAAGCAAAAACCACAAAAAACTCACACAGACAACACTAAGGTGATTACCAGAGGGTAAAGGGGAGATGGTGATGGAAGGAAACTTGACTTGGGGTGGTGAACACACAATACAATATACAGATGATGTATTATAGGAATGTATACCTGAAATCTATATAGTTTTATTAACAAATGTCACCCCAATAAATTCAATAAAAAAGTAAAAACAAAAACAAAAACGGGAGGGGGGGGCACAATTTCTAGCCTTCAATGGATAATAAACAAAACTTAGGCTCCAGATTAATCCCCAATCCTTCAAACCACTACCACTAGAAATAAAGAAGGTTGCAATTTTAATAGCGATTTTAAGACCTAAACAAATTTGGTATTAGGAATACATTAGGAATACATTAGGAATAATAAACATGTCAAGACAGCTGTCTTTTTCCCTATGTGCTCAATAAGGATAAAACACTCAAGAGCGGCTGGGCGACAGGGAAGCAGAGTGGCAGACGTTCAAAATGACCCACAGTGGTTAGAGTTGAATCCCTATCAGAAGAAAACAGGAGCTGGGACACATCCAGGCCAGAACCACCAGCAACAGAGATGGGCTCTTCTGCGTGCAGGTACCAAGCACAACGCAGCCGCCCTGACACACAGCCACACACACGTCATCTGAAGGAAACAAGGATTTGAGAGAAAGGGCATAGATGCTTTTAGCAAACAATTTAATAATCCCCAGGTAAGGCTATTTTTAAACATACCAAATGTGGAGGCTCATTTATCCCAAGTGGTTCCTGAAAAACATATTAAATAAAACATTAAAACAATTGTAACCATATAATCAGTAGTCTTCTCAAAAGTTCCGAAAATATCCTTGGCGGGAGGAAGGTCTAGCTAATTTACTAGATTTTTTGAATTGGCCAGGACCCTCAAATAACTTACTGAATTCTCTTACAGTAATTTTGTATTTATTACTAATTCAATTTGAGTAATACTGTAGCCGGAAGAAAAATGTGCCCCAATACCCATTAGAACAAAAGCGCCTGAACTTCCCACCATTCCGTCTCCCAAACTATCTCATGGGCACCCAGACTGCCCTGTAGTGTTTGTTATTACCCAGGCTTTTTGTGGAATGCCCTCTCTGCCCTACGTACCTTCAGATTTCACCCAGTGTATTCCCTTCTGAGGCACGGTCCCCAAGTTCCCAGGTCCTGAGGGCTTCCTTTCCCCTGCTCCCCTCCCACTGCCCACACATTTCATTTTCTCACTAATCATTCTATAATTAATTGTCTGTACGTCTATCTCCTCAGAGACTGGGACCCATCAGGGCAGTCTGATCCATCTATCTCCAGTGAATCAGCACAGTGTCTGGCACAGCAGAGGCACTAAATAAATGCTGCTCAGTGAATGAACTGGTCAAATTACAAAGCCACTTCGTCAATGTGCTAATATCACACACAAGGTCTCTATGGAGTCCACAGAAATTCTTATGCTATTTCATTTTCTCTACACATACATGCAATATAGATCAACAATTTCACTTTGAAAAAGCTTGTTCCACACATTCTGTTGTATGCCATCCCATGCCCCTGGCATTAGCTATGTCCAGACTTTTAACTTACCAGTTGGATAGGTCGTATTGACATGATTATGTTATTTGATCCTCCCCAGTCAAAAAAGCATTTGTATTTCCCTTTCTCTAAAATGTACTGTTCTCCACAGAAAAACTTCTGCTGGTAGGCAACCCACCTAGTAGGGGGAAAAGGAAAAAGAACAGAGGTGATGTAGAATCGAACAACCAACAATTTTAAACAGCAGAGAACATTTAAAGGTTCTCAAGGGAGGAGACAACTTACACTCCACTTTTAACATGAATGGATCTTGTTTCAGTGCCAAAGCCCGTTTCTTCTAAGTCAGAAATTTCCTGATTTTTAATGTCAATAAACTTCCCACTTTCCAGGTCAGATTCAAACAGTGTGATGGAAGACTCTATAAAATTCTAAGAGGAGGAAGAGAAAAGTTTAGAAAATGCATGAATTTTGTTTTATGGCTTACTAAATCTTTGCACAATTTTCACATACTTGTGAGATAATTTTCACAAACACAGCTCCAGGAAGAATTTTAAATGGTATTGGGAACAATTGTAATAGTCACTATTCCTAAATAGTTTTAAAAACTAAGCTTCAATTTTTACTTTAATCAGGAAAACATACCATTTTTATATAAGTTGAAATTAGTTAACAGTTGGTAAATTGCTAGGACTTACAGGCTACCATATGCAAAACTACTTGTAAAGGAAACTAAAGTCTCACTTATGCCTAAAGATCAAAAGCTGCATGAAACAAAATGGGCAACAAGGGGGAGGATTTGATGTGCTTAAATGAAATGGGGAAAATAAAGTGCTTGACAAAAGAAAAAATTATTAAAAAATTAAATTGAGAGAAAATGCTCTAACCGGTTTGGCTCAGTGGATAGAGTGTCAGCCTGAAGACTAAAGGGTCCCAGGTTCGATTCCGGTCAAGGGCATGTACCTTGGTTGTGGGTACAACCCCAGTGGGGAGTGTGCAGGAGGCAGCTGATCGATGTTTCTCTCTCATTGATGTTTCTAATTCTCTATCCCTCTCCCCTTCCTCTCTGTGAAAAAATCAATAAAATATAATTTAAAAAATAAAAATATAAACTGAGAGAAAATTGTAAAAAGTTTTAATCAGACATGTTTGAAACAAAATTATCAGAAAAACTCTAAGACCCAAATTGATAAGTCAGCAAATAACAGACCTTTCACAAAAAATTAAAAACAAGTAAGAAAATTGTGTCAATTGTTTTATTTTGAATTTCAGTAATAGAAATAAATTCAAAATAAAACAATTGACACAATTTTCACTTTTTAAATTAAGATAAGAAGGATCTTAAAACCCAGTTTTGTTAGGGAACACTCCTGGTGGAAACATACATCGGACAGCCATTTTAGAAAATAATATAGAATATATTTAAAAGATTGATATTGTTCACACTCTTTGAGCCTGAAATTAATCCCCACATTTTTTAGGTTGAGCTTTTTAAAGAAACTAAACAGTAGGCAATTTATATGCAAAGATGCATTGTTTTGTAATAGTGACGAGCTGTAGACAACGTAAATGTCCAAAAGATGCATCAAGATAAACTTTTATGCATCTACCACTTGATGGAATAAATATAATTATGAAGAGTTTTTAACAAGCTAACAGTAAAATATATTCTACACTTATTAATGGCCATGAGTTTGATGTGCATTATTTTCAAATGAGCAATCAAATGAGATTATATGACTTTCATCCCCATTGTACAACTAAGAAACGAAGTGATATATAATTTACTGAGTAATATAGAAAAACTAGAGGCCCGGTGCATGAAATTTGTGCACAGGTAGGGTCCCTAGGTCTGGCCAGCGATCAGGGCCAGTCAGGGCCTTCTGGCTGCCGGCCGGGGCCTCCCTTCCACAGTTGCTGGCCAGGGCCTTCATTCTGTGCCTCCCCATGGTGGTCAGCGCACATCATAGTGAACGACTGAACTCTCGGTCTCCATTCAAACTCCTGAGGGGACATGTGCATATTATCCTTTTATCCTATAGAATAAAGAGCTAATATGCAAACGGTCATCACACCCTCACGCTGTCACGCCATAACAGCTCAGACACTCAACACTGAGGAGAGAGGAATGGGGACCAGCCAGGCACAAATGAGCTCACAAGAGAGAAATGGGGACCAACCAGGCTGCGGCCCAAGAGAGGGACAAGCCGCCTGCCCTGCAGCGTGGCAGGGTCCAGGGTCCCGGGTTTCACATTATTTCCTGTGGGTCTGGGTCTCACGCGATTTTGTGTGCTGGGTCACTAGTATATATAGAAGACTGATATAACATATTAATACATTTTATCAATATTATACACACAAAGAGATGAGGAAATCAAGGCTTTAATAGCCTGTAAGTGACTTGCCTTAAAGTCCCCTGAATAAGCCTCCCAACTGAAGGATGAAGTGTATAGCCCAGGTGTCACATCAACAAACCTGGCTGTACTGACAGCATACACTTCCAGCATGAACATGGCTTTGTCTCTTGCAACCTGAGAATGCATAGCTAGCTTGAGGCAGTTGGGAACCAGTATCAACAGCCACCTACCAAGTCAGGCCCAAACAAAATGGGAAGGTCTTTTATCAGCTCTCAATTTTATGGCTCTCTCCCCTCCATTCCTCCTCTCTCCTTCCCTCCCTCTCTTTCTCTGGTCACTCTGGAATGCTCCAACTCTGCTTCTATTACCTACTCTACTCTGGGTTAGGGTTTCAGGAAGGGGGGTGCAGGGATAAACTGAAATATACCATATGTCATTCATTATATTATGTTGGAATCAAATGGGACAAAGACAAAAACTAGAGATAGGTGCATACTTAACGTGTTTGTGCCCTTTCATGAAAATAACTTGTGTTACTATGTGATGTGCTCCACTTGAGCAATGACTTGCACAAATCAACTGTGCGGGTTGTGGGGGAGTGACCATGGTGAGGAGGGTGAACTGGGAAGCAGGCTGGAGGGACAGGCCGTTTGACCACAATGCAGCCCAGAGCCGAACAGAGGAGGGATCTGCTGTCAAAAGTGCCAGGTGCAAGTGCTGACAGTGTATGCATTCACAAATGAATTTACACCCTGCCCAGCCAGTGCGGTTCAGTGCTTGAGCTTCAACCTATGAACTAGGAGGTCATGGTTAGATTCCCGGTCAGGGCACATGCCTGGGTTGTGGGCTCAATCCCCAGTGTGAGGTGTATAGGAGGCAGCTGGTCAATGATTCTCACTATTGATGTTTCTATCTCTCTCCCCCTCTCCCTTCCTCTCTGAAATCAATAAAAATATATTTTAAAAAATTTACTTCCATGGTTTGAGTGTGTGTTCTTCCTGCTCTGTCTACCAAGGGCCATGGGAATTTCCCAAGTAGCATTGCTCTCCTCTTTCCAGCTTTGGCTTTTGGTGCCTATAGCTCTTGCCTTCTGCCTTTTGTAAGTACCCTCTGAACCACTCTCCTGGTTTTGAGCTTCTCTGCACTTTTCCTGAAACCTACCAAAAATACAATATCTGATCTAGTTGACTAGCTGCCATCACTATGGTGCCCCTTCCAGGCTGAGTTCTAACTCTAAGCCAACTCCAATCATCTGGAGCTAAACCTCCAGGGTCATGTGTACAAAGCATGGGATGAAATATTTAAAGAAAACACACCCCAAAACAAAAAAATTGTAACTCTCTTGCTCTGGAGGTAACTGCAACAGGCTCTCAGCGTTACAGCATCCTGAGTAAGCCCCATGAGGTTACCAGGTCACTGCCATCCCACTTTATCAGGCACAATGAAATAACGTCGGAAGCCATACTGATTTAAATGGGGCTTTACAGCTCAAGAAGAATGAATAATGATGGAATGACCTCAACTCTATATTCCACTTTATTTTTTCAAAACACTGACATCCATTGAAAAATCAGGACAGTTTAATAGTTTCTCAGCACAGTACTCCTGCTGCTAAGAAAATGAATGAGCAGCTGCCGCAGGACCAAAGAGCCTTAAAGATCAGTAATTTGACTATTTATAATTTCCATAACATCCCTCAGCTGACTGGGTGCCAGAGCTTTTGAGCTACAAGCCCCGTGGATGATGCGACATGGGACACCAGTGGAGATTGAGCATACCCATTACTTTAGGAGAAAGACCTCTGCTGCATTCCACCTGGCTTCAGAGGTTTGAAAAGGGGCCCAAAGTCTGAAAATCGTAACAAAAACAAATAAAAAAGCTAGTGGAAAACAAGTCTATCATGACAGTTTTGTTGAGAAAGCCAAAAAATAAAAATTCCTTCCGTAATCCCTGAAGTCTACTGCTATATTCCTTCTGGTCTTGTCCTTTAAAAAAAATACTCAACTCTAAGTCAACACATCTGCCTGACTCATTTGGAATTAGGAACACATTTCTGGTTGTACTCTCCAAAGCACGCTGGGACACAGATCACATTATCCCTAAGGAACTCATCCCGGGTTTGACCTTAGTAGAATCCAGTGTTCTGCATACTAGAGCCAAGACATTAGAAAACTGCATTGTATTATGCAGTTTTCTGTCCTCTTGTTTATTTTATATTACCTCAACTTAGATCTGAAAATGTAGCATTTCACTCTTTCTAAGGTTAGAGACATCTGAGAGTCTCCTACTTATGTAGGTCTGTGACAAAGGCTTTAAATCCTATATCTAAATACTGTATTATTTAAAATTTTCAATGAGGGTAGACCTTATTATCACACATAAAAAAGTACTAATAAAGGGTATGGAAGAAAACTTGGGGAGATGACTAATATGTCTATGGCTCTGATGATGGTAGATGGTTTCACAGGTGTAATTTATCCCCAAACTCATTAAATATGCACAGGTGGCACTAGGCGGTTTGGATCAGTGTTTAGAGCAGCCGAGGGCAAACTACAGCCCGTTTGAAATGAATAAAACTATTGAAAAAAAAAGACCGTACCCTTTTATGTAATGATGTTTACTTTGAATTTATATTAGTTCACACAAACACTCCATCCATGCTTTTGTTCCAGCCCTCCGGTCCAGTTTAAGAACCCATTGTGGCCCTCGAGTCAAAAAGTTTGCCCACCCCTGGTTTAGAGCGTCTGCCCTTGGATTGAAAGGTCATGGGTTTGATTCCAGTCAAGCGTACATACCGAGGTTGCAGGCTCAATCCCTGCCCTAGTCTGGGCGTGTGCAGGAGGCAACCAATCAATGTGTCTCTCTTACACTGATGTTTCTCTCTCTCTGTCTCTACCCTCCCTTCTACTTTCTCTAAAAATCAATGAAAAAAATATCTTCAGGGAGGATAAAAAATAAACAAAAAAATAAAAAGAAACATGCACAACTCTTTACATGTCAAGCATGCCTCAATAAAGTGAACTCTCCCATTATATACTTAAAATACTTTACTTAAAATATTTTTAAGTAAAACTTGATAAGCAAGTTTTTAAAAGCATTTTCATAATATAAACATATTTAAATTCTAAATTTTCTAAATATGTACAGATTTGTTCATATATTTCATCTGAAAATATTTTGTGGACATAAGTTTATAAGTAAACTGTCTGAAAGTTCATGTAAATAATTACTTATTATATGTATGTGTATTGTCTGCAACGTGACATATCTTTACAGCCACAAATGAAGTGCCAATAAACCTCCAGTTGAATGAGATCCAGTTTTCCATTGTTAAGTGCTGTGTTAGTCTAACCATTTTGTAAAAGAAGAAAAGGAATTATATGGCACTAGAGGCCCGGTGCACAAAATTCGTGCACGGAGGAGGGGGGCGGTCCTTCAGCCTGGCCTGCACCCTCTCCAACCCAGGACCCCTTGGGGGCAGGCGGCTTGTCCCTCTCTTGGGCTGCAGCCTGGCTAGTCCCCATTCCTCTCTCATGAGCTCATTTGTACCTGGCTGGTCCCCATTCCTCTCCCCCTAGTGTTGAGTGTCTGAGCTGTTATGATGTGACGGCGTGAGGGCGTGATGACAATTTGCATATTAGCTCTTTATTATATAGGATAGGCTCCAGAATAGGCAGATTTTCCCTCAACTCACAGCTTTACACTCGGGCACAGTATCTCTCAGGTCCTTAGTTTCTCAATCTGTAAGACTGAGAGGATGTGTGTATGTTTTTGTGAAGATTAAGTATAGTCATGAAAGTAAGGTCCTTGACAAATGTTAGAATATTATAATGAGGATTATGAAAACATCTTTAACTATAACTTAATAACTTACCTTTTAACTTTAAAAAAATCGAATTTAAAGAGAATAGAAGATCTTCTTGAAAGGGCACTTTTACTTATTTTTGTAAATACCACAAATTTTGTATGCAGCACTAATTAACATGCCAATTTTTCCAATATAGATTATCATAGACTCTCTCTATCAAATATTTCATAATTATGTAGCTCTACAGGGTGGGGCAAAAGTAGGTTTACAGTTGTATCTACTTTTAAATACAATAAATAAATAATAATACAAAATAATTATTGCACTCGAAAGTGGCTACAACTGTAAATCTACTTTTGTCCCACCCTGTACAGTTATAGTATTCATATATTTTCATGTCTTCTACTATTGGTAGATTTTAACTAGTGAGATGAGGTTTGTTTTTTTGTTAGCTTGTTTTAGTCACAGTCATCTTTAGAAGATACATCACATTCATTTCTAAATATTTCTAGGATCAGCAATGCTTCCACTCAATTCTTTTTGAAATAAGGAGGGAAAAGAAAATTTTGATACAAGGTGGAAGATGCATCAAATCATGACCCACAGTTTACTCAAAGATTGGGGTCAACAACCTTAAAAAAAATATTGAAGACTATCTTGTTTTGTCGTGCTTGCCTTTTATTTTATTATTATTTTTTTAAAATATATTTTATTGATTTTTTACAGAGAGGAAGGGAGAAGGATAGAGAGTTAGAAACATCGATGAGAGAGAAACATCAATCAGCTGCCTCCTACACATCCCCTCCTGGGGTTGTGCCCACAACCAAGGTACATGCCCTTGACCGGAATTGAACCTGGAACCCTTCAGTCAGCAGGCCGACGCTCTATGCACTGAGCCAAACCAATTAGGGCTTGCTTGTCTTTTAGTGCTCAGGTAAGGAGTGGCTAGGTAGAGAAAACCACTGGTCACTGCATATTGTGGACTAAATACCTCAAAAGTTGCCTATCTGTCACTCAAGTAAATTCAGTGCCCAGTCTTCAGTGGATTGCCCTGTATTTCTGTCAAGTAGAACTGGTTTCCAACTCTTATGGACAAGGATGTTTCATGGAAAAAAACAACCACACACACAAAAAAGCTCCTTTATTCCCTGTGCTTCGTTCCCATCCTGGCTCCTCCTGTCTGGCCAGGTGAGGGGTTGCAGCAGAGCTGCTGCTGGCCCCGACACACAGACCAGAAGGGCCAGAGCACACAACCTCTGCGCTGACCCTGTGCTCAGTCCACGTGGACCCACAACCACCCTTCGCTTCATTATCAGTTCCTTCCAAGAGGGCTTTCACTATGCCAGCGTTTAGAGTTCATATGGGCACAGATTATTTTGGAAAGAGACTGCAGTGGGGATGCCTCAATCGTAAGAAAACATGCCCCTCTGAGCATATCAGAGTCTGCAGGGCTGGCCAGAGAAATGAGCCACATTTGAGAAGGCCTGGTATCCTACAGAACTCTATCATTCACCGCTTCTTCTCTACAGCTTCATCAGCTTTCACCGGAGTCCTGCAAGGTCCTGGTCCTCTTTTCTCCAGACTTCCTTTACATTATGCCATTTCTTGATACAGTCACCAAAAAGGTCTTTCTAAACCACTAATCTAATCATAATCACTGGGTCTAAACTCCATCAGTGGCTCATTATCAAAAAAATCTGAACTCTTCAACATGGCTTATGAGGCCCTGCGTTATCTGCCTCTGGACTCATCTTCCCAAAGTTCTCCCTAATACCCCGACTTAACTGCATTCCCTACCCCCCACCCCCATTACTTAATATGGCAGTTTCTCAACCTCAGCACTACTAACATTTTACGTCAGAAGATTCCTTCTTTGCTGGGGGTGGGATGTGGGGTAAGGGGGGTTGCCCTTTGAATTGTAGATGTTCAGCAGTATCCCTGGCTTTTACCCACTCAATGTCAGTAGCATGCCCCCGCCCCCAATCACGACAATACTAAATTTCTCCAGACATTGCCAATGGCCCCTAGAGGGTAAAATCACCCCAAACTGAGAACCACTGGCTTACATCCTTGCTTTTATATATGTTACTCTCTTACTGAAACAACAACTACCTTTCCCCTTCACCCTGTCCTGAATTTCTTCACCTGGTAACTAACTCCTGAACTTGAAATTTCAGCTCAGCTGTCCTCTTCACTTCCTCTCACTTCCAGTAGGAGTACTGACCTTTTTCTGAGTACCCTCGGTACTCTGTGCTCAAGCCAATCACCGTTAAACATCAAACACTGCTGTAAGCGTCGTTTCTCTATCAGACTGCCTGCTCTGTTAGGGCAGGGCTGAGTCTCTGGCACCTGGCACAATACAGCTATCAGAGCAGGTGCTCAAAAATGTGGAATCAATAGGTGAAAAGTAAATACAAGTATTCTGAAATAATCATGGCAGTTAGAAAAATAGGCAAGGGGGGGAGGTAGAAGAAGGTAAAGGGGGGATAAATGGTGATGGAAGGAGACTTGACTTGGGGTGGTGAACACACACTATACAGACGATGTATTATAGAATTGTACCTATAATTTTATTAACCAATGTCAACCCCAATAAATTCAATTAAAAAACAAACAAACACAAAACAGGCACATCACATAAGCAGATCAGTTTAGTGCCCTCAGGTTTTAGAAAGATGTTAAAACCTCATGTTGTATCAGAGGTCATGTCCAATTTTTACGGAAAAATAAAGAGAGAAATTAAGAATTTGGGAGCTAACTCACAGCTTGTAAGTACCGGAAAGACAAAATGGGGCCGCTCAATGCCCCATAAGCATTTCTGTCTTCAAAATCTCCTTCTTCAAGCAAGAATTGTTGGCCTTTAAAATGTTCTTTTTCATAGGCAACCCACCTAGAAATACAGAGGACACCAACTGAGCCATTCATTAGTAAACTGTAGTCAAGAACGCAAGGAAAAAAATCATGATAAAGCACCCCGTTGCACATCACAGTGTTTTAAAAAGCAACATATTTGGTTTGTTACCATTTACAAAGACAAATGGTATACGCTCCATGGATCAATAATTTTTATAGTTTGCAGTCTCTGCCACCAAAAGGTCAACTGTTGCAGAATTACAACAAAGCAGTGCTCATTAATGCATGTGGTGTGGCCTGATACCATGTCTCAAAATGGTTGAAGAACAGTTTACCAAGTAAAAAATAATGGAAAGCACAAAAAGGCAATGAGACAAGTTACAAACCCACACTGAGATGCAAAGATAGTCACTCCTGTTGGACTGATGAAGCCCTCTGGAATGACAGCATGATTTCTATATTATACATGCATTTAGGTTTAGCTCAAAGGAGCCTCTCACCGGGCTTCAGCGCTAAAACACATCACACGGGGGTTTAGCAAAGAGAAACTGGGACGTGCGACCGAGCTGGTATTAGCCTTGGTGGCCTTCGTGCACGCAGACTTCTGTAGGTGTTCATGGTGGGAAGTGCTGCTCCCTCCATTTTATCCGTACGTTTCAGGGACCCAGGCTTCTTGACTTCTAATCTACAACTGTCACTAGAGCACTGATAATCACCATTAGGCATTAAGCTCCTCCGTGAAACTTGCATTTTACGGAGTAACCGGCGTAGCTAACGCAGTGTGGGCAAAGACGGGTCACAGTGTGTGTTGACGCGCTTAAGCCCTCTCTTCGGCCACACTTGGCACATGCCAAGGGTGACTATTTTGGGCTCCTGGGTTGGGGACTTCTGAATTCTGGAGTTGGACAAACTGAAGCCTGGTAAGGCTACCGTTTGTTTCCTTTCTCCACCTCTACTATAGTTGTGAAGATATAAAAAATATTCCACAGGTTTCCATAGGGTGCAAAACTGCAGTAGCCACTCAGCAATCATGAATCCTGCCTCACTTTGTGCTGCAGGTGTGTGTACAGCAGGGGCAGGGGGGCACATGAGTTGGAATAAACATGTCTTATACATCTTAATATATTTGTAATGTGTACAGAAACTAGCATTACTTTATTCTTAAGCTATTATGTGAAAATAAATCGTATAAGAACTTTCAAATTCTAAGCTTTCTTTTATATAAATGAGGCTACTCAAAGCAAGCTTTTAATGCATTTGAATGGGAAAAAGAATAAAAGGTACAGAGGACCAACAGAGAATGGCTCAGTTGGTGTCCTCTGTATTTCTAGGTGGGTTGCCTATGAAAATATTAAAGAATATTAAAGAAGAGATCAGTAAATTTTCATATAATGACAGTTGAAAATCTTCTGCCCAGTTTTTCTGAATAGATTTGATTAAGATTCAATGTATATATCCATCTGAGATATTAAAATGTAGATATTATCTGAGAAAAATTAAGAAACATCAACCTCACTTTCCCCAGATCCCTCAAGATGGGAGAGAGATGAGGAAGAGCCCTCATATACCACATATAAACAGCTGATAAAAGTGAAAAATGGTAGAAACGCAGAAAAAAATAATGAAGTTCGCTGTTTATCTCTCAATGGGGACATCACATTTTTCTCTGCAGTTGCCATATAAAAATGATAGTGTGTACGTTGTATTGTAAGCCATAATATTTTGAGATTTTTATAAAATAATTATAGGAAAGAACAATGACAATCACAATCTAGTTAATGGGAAAAATATTTGGATCCCAGAGGGAAGAAAAGGCAAAAATATTTAGCAAAGGATTAACAAGAAGCATGTGTGTTCACAAATCAGAGGATGCCGCAAATAAATACACACAATAGAAATGTGTGTGTCCAAGGCATATTTGGTCTTCAAGCCCCTAATAAAAATTTAAAATTCAGAAATAATTACAAAATAAAATTGAAAGAGAAAAATAAATGTATTTTTTATAAAAATATATTGACCAAAACAAAACAAAGAGATGATTACCAAAATGTCAGACTAATTATGGATAGGACACACCTATCTAGCATATTGCATAGTCTCTCATAATTCCAATTTGGTTGGTATGGCCATCGCCTGATTTTTTTGCTGGAAACAGCAAATTCTAAGTCTCTAAAATGTAGATGCCTGAGTGATCTTATGTGTCATTTAATTTCTATGAATAAAGTATTTTAATAGCATCTTTTGCTAGAGTATCCTGAATAAGTTATACAATGTTAGCACAAGTATCAAGAGGTACCAAGGCTTAAATTAAAATGAACCAAAAAAAAAAAAAAAAAAGAACCAACATATCAACAGAGAGAGGAACAGAAAGTATCTGGAGGGATCAGTGCTGGGTTGACAACGGTGAATAAGCTATGAGAGCTGCTTCTCCCTGGTTTTACCTGCCAGGACACAAATACAGAAGGCACCACCCAGTCAGGCCACAGATTTCCTGCGGCTCCTGCCCCAGTAACTGCTGATTGAGACTGAGTTAGCACAATGATGGCTACACTTGGGTTTATACTTAGGAGTTCTTTGGGGGCTTCCAAATGCAGTTCAGGGCCACAGGTTAACAATATCAAAATGCCTTACTTTCAAACAGACAACCAGGCTACTTCTTAATGGGGGAGGGCTCACTGTCAGTGTCCTCAGCACAGAGTCAACTAAGAGCAACAGAAGAGATCTTTTATTTTGTGTTCTGTTGACCCTATGAGATCAGAGTGTGTAAGGAAGCTATAGGACAGAATATTCACTAAAAATACTTTAAGCCTGGCCAGTGTGGCTCAGTGGTTGAGTGTCAACCTATGAACCAGGAGGTCACGGTTTGATTCCCGGTCAGGGCATATGCCTGGGTTGTGGGCTCGATTCCCAGTATGGGGCGTGCAGGAGGCAGCTGATCAATGATTCTCTCTCATCATTGATGTTTCAACCTTTCTCTCCCTTTCCCTTCCTCCCTGAAATCAATAAAAATATTTAAAACAAACAAACAGAAAAACTAGGGCTCTCATCCATGTTCATAATCTTTAAGAAAATAATTTTATTTGCAATTCTTATTTTTGTATTGTGATTAGTAATACTAAGTGCTGAAGTTTTGGAAACTACTTTCTATTTAATCGACCTCAAAATCTGTAATGCCAAGAGTTCACAGGAAGCTACTAGTAGCTAATATTTTTTTTATTTCCCATATTATCAAAGAAATTTATATCTTCAGACTAAGGCAGGTGGTTTTTGCTTTGCTTAGCACATTTTCTGTACTGACCTTCATAAACAGACTAAATCAACTATTGAAAATATGACACTCACACTCCACCGATGACACGAATAGATCCAATTCCATGAAAGTCCTCATCATTTTTTAAAAAATTAGGGACAGAATCTATATGTTCACTAAACTCTTTGGCCTGTCCATAGAAGTGAGGTTTTTCATAAATAATAACCTGAAAAAGATGAAAGGAAAGTACTTAAATGCTTATATTTTAGAACAGATACACATTAAAGACAACACCATGAATAAGGATCATGGTCTGTTTTTTCATTAATATATACTTACACTAGAGCACAGTGTCTGACAGTTACAAGGCATAAATGAGTCTTTAGCATCACAATGATAAAATATCTTAATAGTATACTTCTCTTATATTAATATACTCAAGTCTGATCACATTGTTCTGGTTATCCAAATCCTATGACCCTCTCATAGGAAAAACTCTGTTATAAGTGGTTCTTGAATTATCTTTCTAAGTTTATCCCTGTGGTTAGAATTTAATACAAACCTTCCTTATACTTATGGAATGTCCCCTGTAAGAAATAAAAGCTCTCTTGAGGTTCCAGGGCATAATAATAAATTATCTATGGATTTGAGAAAACATATGCTGTTTCTTATAACGCTGCTTCTATGGTTGTTACTATTTAACGAGAAGAAAGAGACAGGCAAATTCTTAAGTCTAAGTAGAAAACTTCCTAAAAATAAAAAATGATTGAAAAAGTTATAGTACTTTTACTCCGTGGTTGATTTAAATTAGGGGGGAGGAGGTAAGTATAGAAGGAAATAAATTTGCAGCATTTGATTTACTTTAAATTTGGATTGGTACAAGTATTTCTTTTCCACTATTTTGATGCTCTTTATTCTCAAATATGAGCTGCCCTTCATATGTGGAAGTGATAACAGTGCTAGTTTACCCACATACTAGCACTTGGTCTAATTTGTGGCTAATGGCATAATCTGTGCACAACTGGCAACACATGGCCTTGGCAAGTAAGATCCCATGCTCAAACACAGCGAACCAGCAAGTGACAGCTCTTATTATTATTTTCTTTTCATAAACCTCTATTGCTGTAAGTTTTACATATGTCCCCTTTGTATCCCCCATTGCCCTCTCCTCCCCGCAAAGCCTTTACCACCCTATTGTCCTGTCTATGGGTTATGCATAGCTCTTTTTTAAAAAACTGATAAAATTATACAGACTGAAGTAAATATGTAGCACTGCTCCTGCAGTTTTCTACCTGTTAATTCTTCACCAGCTGCTGTATTGGAAGTAATGAAATTTTATTTGGGTTTAATACATATGCCGAACACAACCAAAATAAGAAAGAAGCGATAATCCTTTGATGAGTAAGCCATAACTGACATCTAGCACCTTGAAAACTGTGGCTGTCTCTGACAGCCATTCCATTCATACACCTCTACAGCCTGTCAGACTGCAATGTCCAAGGCAGACCCAGCCTGCTGCACCTAAGTTCTGATTCAGCAAGCAAGGAGACTGAGACAGGAGCTACTCAGGGCGTGTCCCAGCTAATTCTGCATCTACTAGGTCCCTGGTTTGAAACTGGTTATAAGTTAGAACCACTGGGGAAGCTCTGCAAAATATGACCACACCCAGGACCAAGCCAGTACCTTTGTGAGTGGTAGTATTTTTTTTAAACTCAGATATATGTGATTCTACCATATAGCCAAAATGTTTTAGACACACTCAGATATTGAGTTCCAAAAGACTCCATCTAGAGAGAATGGTAGTCAATTCCACAAATTAGGAAGCCCCCAAATGGGAGGTTTGGATGCTGTGTGTCTGTTTGGAGGAAAGAAGAATGGATCAATCGCTGCCCACCCCTGCCCCTGGAGGTGCCGTGCCCTCATTACACAGAGGCCTGTTGGCAGCTTTTCTCACTGTACTTTTATCTTCTGACCTCTCCTTAGACACTTTTATAATTCTATTTCTTCCTTTCTTTCCCAAAATGTGCTTAATCATGGCACCGCTACCACTCTAGTTTTCATCGTCTCTATCCTTCCCTTTAAATACTCATGATTTAAAAACTGCCGTCTACCTGACAGAGCTATCTACACCTTCTAACCATCCTGGATCTCCTTGAGCATCACCCCAAATGCCTGCTAGGTATCTCCACCTGAATATCTAGCTGCAACCAATACCCCACCCCAAACAAAAATCAAACTTACCACCTTTTCACCTGTTAGTAGGTGCTTATTGCTTTTGACTGGGTTTCCAATACGGACCTGGGCTTTCGTGCAGTCACTATACCCAACCCCCAACATTCACAAGCTGGGCATTGATAACATATTCAGGTAACTGTTTTCAATTTTAACAGTTCAAATTACACAAAAAATTAATACTAAATCTTTTTTAGCCTACTACAACAGTCTGTCCCAAACTTACCTTTAAGTTCATGGGCATTTCCACTTTTAGTCCACCCTTAAGATAATAAGAAATTTTAATGTTAAATATATAAACATTTAAAACATTTGAAAGTAACTATGTGACATACATATATAAGTTATATAAAAATCTGATTAGTGAAGATTATGTACCAGTTAAATTTAAAGTTGTGGTAAATTTAAAATTTTAAGAACAGAACTCTATAATAGTTAAAATCAAGCCAGATGTCTCTACATCAGTGTAGATGGGGCAGGAGATATTAAAAGATACTTTCCAGCTTGGCCAGTGTGGTTCAGTGGTTGAGCAATGACCTATGAACCAGGATGTCATGGTTTGATTCCCAGTCAGGGCACATACGTGGGTTGTGGGCTCAACACCCAGTGTGGGGCATGCAGGAGGAAGCCAGTCGGTGATTCTCTCTCATCATTGATGTTTCTCTCTTTCTCTCCTGATGTTTCTCTCTCTTTCTCTCCCTTCTTCTTTGAGATTAAAAAAACATATATATTATACTTTCCAGATTACAACAACAACAAGGAAGAAAACAGAACTTCAGTCCTAAGCACACATGAGTAATTAAAGATTTAATCCCAAGTCCAAAAACAATAGTGGAATTGTTAGATTTAAAAACCTCATTTGGCAGAAGAGATTTCTAAAGCACTTATTACTAAAAGTCTTCTCTACAATTGCTTGGGCTTTTAAATTAGAGAGAGCACTTCCTCTTCCACATTCTGCCAATACTTCTTAGCATATTTAATGTCTTTTTGGCTTCAAGGTTGTAGAGCAAGCATGTCAAACTCATGGCCTACGGGCCACATGCCTTGTTTATTTGACCCATGTTAGCCTCTGAGTTTGAAATGCTTGTTGTAGAGCATAAAAAGTACTTCCCTTCTCACAAAAAACCTAATTCTATAATCTACTTGTTTCTAATGCTGTCCCACATTATAATATTTCTTAAAATTTCTTAGTTTGTTCTTAATTTTTAAAAAAGGCACAAAACCACCAAATATGCCTTTATCACACAGGTAACATTTAATTAACACTTTGAACCTCAAATAAAAATGTTTGCAAGAAAATAAACACTGAAGGTACTTATCTTTAAGAAAGCCACCAGTGACAGACTGCCCATTTACTACTAATGCTGAGCTTAGCATGCATTACTACAATTGAAGAGTATAATTTATTAGTAATTTATAATAAGCATAAAAAAGCAAATTCAAAACTTTATTAAACAGTCAAAAATGTCACAGAACATTTATAAGGAAATTGCATGCAATGTTATAAACTTAGCACAAAATAAATTAGACATCTGTCTTCTGGGGAAAAAATTAAAATTTCTCACATGGATATTCTCTACAATATAAAAAAACAGAAAAACAATGAATTCATAGTTTGTTAGTTCAGTAGTATTCACATTCATTTCTCAGGACTGACATGCATGAGCAATCATCAGAGCTATTTAATTTTGGATTCATGGGTATTTGGAAAAATGTTTCCTTTTACATTTGCTTACCATTTGAAGTGGATGCAATGATTTCATTTCTGCTGCAGAAATCTCAAAGAGTCCATGGCCTTCCTCCAAAATTGTAGCTTGCCCCTTAAAATTAATGTCTGGGTAGGCAAGCCAACTAGAAAGAAAGGAATGACTGGTTAAAGTATAACAGGAATACCTTAGTCTGGTTCTGTAAAAGTTAAAAGGGCTATGTAAAAACAAAACAAAAATGCATCATGGAATTATGCTAATAAACTCACTCAAAGTGACTGTGCCAACAAGAAACAACAACAAGTTAACATGCTATTAAGTACTTACATTCAAACATTACCGATCCTGTAATAAGTCTATCATATGTTTTCCAAGCATTAAAAATTTCCAATACTTTAAGTCAAGCAGGATATAAGTGAAGTATCAATTCCATACCACATGTTCCATTCTTTTGAAAACTGGAGCAATCAGAGGTAGGGATTCCACTGGGCATCTTACAACTTTGACCTACATTTTTAGAATCAGTTATCAGTTCTACTGGCTGCCTTAGGAGCAGTATGTGAATAAGATTCCCCAAAGACTCATCTAGCTTCCACCTAAATTTGATAATTACAGATATTGCTCATGGATAAGGTTAATTCTTGGGTCTGCCCAAGAGTTCTTATCCATGGTTGGGGAAGATGAAGAAAGACATCCTACAATGACCCCAAAATTCTACAGCACCATCGTCAAAGCAGATGAAAACAGTGAATGAAATAAGAGAGATCCATGTTGAACCAGGCATCACAGCATCTTTGAATTAAGACTAAACTCACACCCATACTCCTGAAGATACCTTTGGAATCAGAAACGCCGCGCCTGAGCCCAACCCCTTAATTGCCTTATTTATAATATGAGCACAGCTCCACCTGCCTTGAAGGCATAGAGGAGTAATAAACAAAAAGGCACCATGTCCCTGGCACTGCAGAGGCACTCAGCAACTACTAGCACTGAGACACTCCAGAAATAGTTCAGGCTGCAGAATTTTAGGCCAGGGACACACTTTTATTTCTAAGTCCTAAAATTTTGTGGAGAAAAAGAGATGGATGCACCGATCGATTGAGAATGGTGTGTGAGACCGTATATGCTCCTGTGAGCCATACAGCAAAGACTTAATAGGAGCCAATGAGAGAGAATCTGTTTCGTCCCTGCAGCAGTCTTTCTTAGGTATCCAGGGCCACAAAGGAAATGAACTTACACTTCAGAAATATGTGTGTCACTTACTGAAATATGAAACAAAAAGTTAACTTTGGTGGCCATCACTCACTGAAATGAAGAGAAACAAATACGTACACTCCCGACTTCACAGTGAAGGACACATATTTGGGGATATCCAGCTCTTCTAAGTTAGGGACCGCTCGCTGTATGCAGACAGGACAACATGGTGGGTCAGACTGCAGGCAAAGTTCTATCTCTGGAATACTGCAATCCTGGAAAAAAAAAATTGGTTTTGAAATCATCTAAGAAACACACAGTCCAGTGTTCCAGCACCCTGGACATTCAGTTACAACTATTCTCATTGCTCAGTTAAATTTCTTCACAGGGTAACATAAAAGAAATACTGTTGCATAGTATTTCATACCAGTTTTTTAAAGTAAATTTTTCGTCTTGAAAAAAATTTTTTTTTTACATTTGTCAATTACAGTTTACATTCAATATTATTTTATATTAGTTTCAGTGTATAGCATAGTGGTTAGACATTTATATAATTTATGAAGTGATCCCCCCAATAAGTCTAGAAGCCACCTGGCACCATACATAGTTATTACAATATTTTTTATTATATTCCCTATGCTGTACTTTACATCCCATGACTATTCTGTAACTGCCAATTTGTCCTTCATAATCCCTTCACTTTTTCACCCATCTTCCCAACCCCCTCCAATCTGGCAATCAATACATTTTTCTAAGAAGTTATGCTGATATGATGAAAATTATAAATATTAGTGTTTGAAAAAGTATTACTCCAATATTTTCTGCTTTGTTTTTAGAAGTCTTGTTCCATGAAGCAATGCTCAGAGTTACCGAACTATCTGAGTGCCAAACACCTGTAAGCTTTCCTTCTTAGAAGCACAACAGAGCCACAGGGAGGAAAGGTTAAGTAAAAGCTGACATCATGAGCAACATTAAAAAATAAATAGCAGAGAGATACTACACCCTCAGTGTGTCATCTAATTTACATTGACAAAAGAGGTAGGAATTAGAGATGAGGGTGAAGGAAATCTGTTTTTCTACTTGTGGCATTTTATTTTTTTTAGTACAAGTTGACTTCAAGAAGAAAGGCATTAGGAAATTTGACCTACATTCCGGCACACATCCATTGTCACCATGTCCTGTCAGACCTTCCTTAAAATTTCACTTGTGTTTATCTCTTATCTATTCCCATGTTCAAAGTCCTTCATCAAGGCCAAGACTTCGATTATGGGCCTATACCACCAGGCAAGTACCATCCACTCTTTATACAGCTGAGGTTGTTAGAACACCACTTTCCTCATGACACTTGGCTCAAGACCCAAGCACATCAAATTTATATTGGTTTCCCTTTCTATAATATGGTACCAACCTAGCAATCTATACTAATCTCCATAACTCTTCGGTCATACTGGTCTCCATGCTCTCTTCACTCCCTCTCTGGCCTCTCTATGCTTTGTAAATGTTTCCCCCATTGAAATTACAGAGATAATCCTCTGTACTCTTTACTTATGAAAATCCTATCAATAACAGACAAACATGGTAATTGACTGTACCTTCGCTATGCCTCCCATTGGCTAATCAGTGCAATATGCAAATTAACCGCCAACAAAGATGGTGGCTAATTTGCATACTGCAGGCAGGGCGGGACAGCGCCATCCCGCCTGCCCTGCCGCCATCCAGGCCTGCTATCTGTGACCCGGGGCGGCGGGCGTCCCATGTTTGACCTGCCCTGGGGCAGCCGGGCGGGGCAGCAGCGATCCGCCAGCCCGCTAGGGCGGCCCATGTGCAACCCAACCCAGGGTGGCGGGGCGGGACAGCGTGGCTCCTCTGTCACCCCAGCTTCCTCATCAGAGCTCCCTTGGGGTTCTAAGCCTTTAGTTGGACATCCCCCGAGGGTTCCCTGGCTGCCAGAAGGATATCTGACTGCAAGCTTAGGCCTGATCCCCCAGGGAGTGGGCCTAAGTCGACAGGTGGACATCCCCCAAGGGGTCTTGGACTGCACATGGGCGCAGGGCGGGCTGAGGGACCCCCCCCCTACCCCCATCGACAAATTTTTGTGCACTGGGCCTCTAGTCTTTAAATAGTCAAGTTTTAAGTAAAAAATGACCTCAACTTTTCTTAGGGAATCAAAACCACAATTATTTTCCCATCCTGAAAGTACAGATGTGCTTCTTTCTGAACACACAGTCTATTTCAGTAGGCATGGGTGTTTTATTCTATGATTTAAGTTTCAGCAGCGAAATTCTCATCTAGGTCATCATGAAATTCAAATGATGACTATACTTTAATAAAATAGGTAAATGCAGTTAACAATCAGAGGTGGCACTTACTGGACTGAACAATTGTATTTTTTATCACAATCAATTTTGCAATTTTAAAACTGTAAATTTCTAATTTTTTAACCTTTCTCCAAACTGAGTTCTCTTATTAATCATTATTAATAATTCTCCCTATGTAAAAGCAAGCAAATTGATACATTTTATTTTCAGAAAGTTAGTTCTAAAATGCAATACAGTAAAAAGCCATTACCTAAAACATTCTTTAAAGTATAAAAATTTATTTCCTTCTGAAGTTTCATTTCAAAAACAGCCAGAAATGTCCAGAACAGTCACCTGTCAATCTTCAAGGCTCTTTTGTTTCCTGTGAATAATAGAGTTCTAGGAACAGAACTGTGCCATACTCAGGTTCCCCTGGGGTCTGAGGGGCAGGAACAGAGCACAGAACTAAGTGTCTCACACTAACAAGCTTCCTCTGCATTGTGTTGTACAAACAATGTTTGGGTGGTGCACTTTAAAAGGGAAAAATTTAGGAGGCATTCAAGTCCTCCACAACACAGAAGGAAACAGCATAATGGAACATGCATGACAATGGCTAGAAAAAAATGAAAAAATAAACAAAAATAAGAACGCTTAAGCTCTCAACTGTCTTTAATAGAGGATCAATTTTTTTCTCTCCAGTTGATTGAAAAATATTTCACGAAGTTCTAGCTTCTTCATGGTGTCTACTCAAGAAATAAAGTCTTTTGAAAGACTTGCATAATTCTAGATGGTCAAAGGTAGTAAACACTAGCGACGGAAGGGTGCTTTATAGTAGCCTAGCAACAATAAACAGTTTACTCTCAGTAAAGAAACATTTATGTGGCTTCCTTCCAGACTTTTCTAGCCATGATATACTTTACAAATATATTTTGGTGAAATTTGCCAGCTTAGACTATTAAAGCAATTAGTTGGAAGGGAGACGAAGCTGCAGGATAGAAAAAGAGTGGGAATGAATTGCAGTTTAAAAAAGAACAGTAAGAAAATCTACTTGTCTCCACCTCACATAAATACTTCAGTCACTGATCTAATAACATCTCTCCTCTTGGTTCATTAATGAGGACACAACCTATGTAACTTCTGACCATAAGAAAAATGTCATCCCTTAAAAAAAATTAAATGCATGGTAAACACAGTATAATTTGCAATATTCATATCCTCTATTTGAGAAAAGGAAGCACTTGACTCAAGACTCACTGCGCTGCTAACCCACCCCCAGTTATTTTCACTGGGGCAGAGATGACGCTAGAGCAGATTCCACAATAATGGATGGCACCTGATCTATTCACAGCAAAGTGAAAAACACCACTAGAAGTATTATCTTTAAAGAACATTAAAGTTTTGACTAGTCCGAGTACAGCATCTAAAAGATGATGAAACAAGATAAGTTGGCGTAGGCCTCGGTAAATTTGGAATGGCCACCATGAAGTAAAGTTATCCATAACCAGCATTTTGACACTGTTGGAGAAAGGAAGCAGTTTGATGCTCAATTCTTACTTTGTTAAATACTTAGAACAATGCTAATGCCTTTTCCATTCAATGCTCAATAGTTTTATTTTCCTTCCTCACTGAAAGTTGCTAGCCTGTTCGAGATATGTGGGCACTAACACTGCAATTTAAATAAGATTCCAAGAACAAACAATGGAAGAAGGAAAAAATGCAAGCATGACTTATTCTTTCTTATAATATAGTCTAAGCAAATGACAGATGTTCAAAATACCGCTTTATATACATTCTTAACAGACTGTTTTTTTGTTTAATTTTATTATTGCTTGATTGGGTGGAGTGGGTTAGGAGGTAGCTGCTTACAACATATTATTCATCTTTCTTTCCTCACCAGGCCTGGCATGGTGCCTGACACTCACAAGGAGGGCACAAAACCATGTTATTTAAATCTTGGACGATTCCACCTACAAACTAATTATTCATTCAAGGAATTTCTAGTGAGTCAGCCAATTAAGCGAGCCCTATAGAGAAACACTGTCCTTTATGCCAGACCATTGATCTTGCAGCACCAAAAACACCCTGCCAGGACTCCCTCGCGTTTCCTCCGCTGCCCAACTCCTGTTTATTTTCTCAAGATTCCAATCTGGTGCCACCCCCTCCAGGCAGGTGTCTCTGCTTTGTGCGTCCTTGGGCCTTGCAGATAACTTCTTACATCATGTGGTCGTGTGGCTCCACTGTCTCTCCCTAGACGCCGAATAACCTCAAGCACGAGACTGTATCTCACTTGTTTTTCTATTCCCAACACCCATCACAGCTGGGTCAAAAAGCAGACACAGATATTTGTAGACACAGGTTCGTTATAGTTTTGCAGAAATACATGCAGACACCCCTTTATGATAATATGAGTTTTTTTGTATGCTATCTACAATTATCAAGAATTTAATAACATCATAATTTCATATCATCATAATTTTCCGTTTTAAGGATATAAAAGAAATCTCCATAATTTGAAAAGTCTTTTGAGTACCATGGGAGTAATTAAACGAAATCATGTGCTATGTTACTGCTGAAGGAACTTTAAGAAACATGGAGCTTGCTTCCCTTATCTGACATCTGTCATTATCACTAATTCACTCCTCAAACCACCACAGGGCCACCCGCAAAATGTGTTTTATACGGAAAGACTTCTCATCTTAGTATGAAATAACATTTTCTAAACAGAAAATAAAAATAGGCAATGCACCTTCTATTCCTCTCCCCATTCCTTCCTTCTCCTAACACTCCCTTTATTTCTCTCCTTCCTTTCTCTTTCCTCCTTCCTCCTTCCTCCTTCTCTCTCTCTCTCTCTCTCTCTCAGAACTACACAAAGGAGAAGAAATCTATACAGCGGGGCCTTGACTTACGAGTTTAATTCGTTCTGTGACGGAGCTCGTAACTCAAATTACTCATATGTCAAATCTTAAAGTGAACGAGTGAGACACGTGATGCTGGGCTGAAGTTGTGGCGTTCACTGTGACGTTCGCTGTGCCAACTAGCGGTGGGGTATCTGAAGCTGGCTTGTAACCCAAATTTTAGCTCGCAACTCAAAGCAAAAAATTGGCCGAGAGACAGCTCGTATCTCAAAAAACTCGTTAGTCAGGACACTCGTAAGTCAAGGCCCCACTGTACTGAAAAAAAAGATATTTGGAAATATCAATTATTTTCCTAAAGATGCCTGATGATATGTTTCTACTGCTATTAAAAAAACTATATAAAAGCCTAAGCGACCGAATGACCAGTCAGCTGGTTGCTATGACGTGCAATGACCACCAGAGGCAGACGCTCAATGCAGGAGCTGCCCGTGGTGGTCAGTGTGCTCCCACAGCCAATCTCCCATGGCCGGCCAACCTCCCACAGTCCCTCCCCGTGGCCGGCCAACTTCCTGTGGTCCCTCCGCCCAGCAGTCCAGTCCCCCCGCCCCCACCCCGATTGGCCCTGATCACTGGCTAGTCCAAGGGACCCCAACCATGCACGAATTTGTGCACTGGGCCTCTAGTATATATATAATATCACGTACGATTTTATGGCCCAGATTACAATTAATAGTTTAAATTAGCATTCACTTAATATGTATAATATGAAATATTATAATTAATACTAGAGGCTCGGTGCACAAAATTCTTGCACTTGCTGGGGGGCGAGGGAGGGTCCCTCAGCCTGGCCTGTGCCCTCTCACAGTCCAGGAGTCCCACGATTGATCACTCCAAAGAGGTAGAACCCACCCACCCGGCCGGACTCCTCAATGGATTGCCCCTGCAGAGGGAGGCCCTGCCCACTTGATGCAGCCCACTGGTTGGTGGCCTGGGCCTCCCTTTGTAGGGCGATCATGGAGTGATGGCCGGGCCCCTGACCAATCACATCGCACCCGCTTTGGCTGGCCTGGTGCTAGTGGATGTCATAGTGCGGTCATCCGGAAGGTCATTCGGACAGTCATTCTGCTGTTCGGTTGTTCGGTTGATTTGCATATTACGCTTTTACTATTATAGATAACAAAGATCAATGAAATTAGCACAAATTATGGCAACCATTTCTAAACATTGCTAGGCCAAAGTACAGGTTTACTACATACCAAACAAAACAAAATAAAAAATAGAAGAAGCATAAAGCAAAAGAAAAGTCATAGACCATTTTATCTATTTGCATTTTCAAATCTGGGTGATTTTCTACTATTAGCATAAAATCCCATTTTTGAAATGATATAGATGCTAGTTTAAGTACAAACAGTATAAGAAAAAATAAACTTGGAAGTAATACTTCCTGAAATAATACTATAATCCATGCCTATCCCTATATGCATATATGCACTTTATAGATGTTGTACACACAA